AAGTATTCTGTTTGATTTTTTTCAAAAAAAAAAAGGTAACAGCATAATTCTTCAATTCTAGACACACCATCAATTTATTAACAGCTTCTTTGAGGGATGGGAGAGGAAATATGACCACATTAAATCTACATAATGATTTTAAGATATATCCCATTTCAAAAAGGTTAACTTTGGAGTTTGGGGCAGTGTCATGAGGCAGGTAAGGTGTGGAGTAGGTGAATGGAAGTGAGAGCACAGCCCAAATCCAGGAAATCTGGTACCTGGACAACCTCTTCTGGTTCTGTTGAGAGTTGGTCACCTCCACAGATGGCTAGCTTTGGGTGGACTGGTGAGTTGATGGCCACAAAAGAGGATTGGAGCTTCTACTCACTTAATGACTATCCAGTTGAAAAGTGAGGTGGAACACCTGTAGTAAATGAAAAAGACTTCAGGTCAGGGAACTATCTCATCTCCCAGCATACAAAACCATACCATACACCATTTCCAAAACAGAGCCCCACTGGTAAGCTTTCGTCAGTAGCACAGACATACACATACAGATCCAGGAATGTTGAAAGTTTGTTTACAGAAGCACTGAAAATATTTTCTTCATGGGATTCCACAATGGGAATCTTGTTGTTTGTGAACTGTACATAGTCAAAAACACCATCAGCATATGAATTTTTCACTTCAATTTATACCTGGGACCACCTGTTCTCTGTGGATTCTATATTCCAATCTGAAGGATTTGACTCTTAAGTAAAATGTGCTTATTCATATTTCTCAAGAGACACCCTTGATTGGGAGGTGAGATAATGTTGTGACACTGAGCTGTGTTCTGACTGAATGTTGATGCACCTCAGGTACACAGTCATATCTCACTTTAATAACTAAGATCTTCACAAAGTTTTGTCTTTCTTTTTAAGTACATTTTTGAAACTCTTTTTATAAGTAAAAGTGATGGCATAAGAAGTTTAGCTGCCTAAAACCACAGCACCACAGCCTCCATTTACCTCTGTAAAGGTGTGAGTCTACAATAGAAAATTAAAACACCCCCCTGTTCACAGGGGGTGTCACTAGCAGAGGCGACTGACTCTCCTTCTGTAGAGATGTCATTTGAGCTTTACTGAGTAGTAAAGCTCAAATGACATCTTCCACTGACCATGGAAAGCTCAGGAAAACTGGAATAATGAAGAAAGAAATCAGAGGGAGACCATAAAAGCCCAGTTCATTTCAAGGAGAAAGCAGTAACCATCCCTTCCCCATATATTTTAAATATCACAACAAATCTATGTAAAGAAATAAACAATTCACTGAGAGCACATTTTATGTACAACTTTAATTTCTTCCTACTGTGTTCATTACCAAGCTGTTTACTTTCTTCAGGCAGGATGGGGGGGGGGGGCTTTTTAAAATTTCAAGGAGAAAGCAGTAACCATCCCTTCCCCATATATTTTAAATATCACAACAAATCTATGTAAAGAAATAAACAATTCACTGAGAGCACATTTTATGTACAACTTTAATTTCTTCCTACTGTGTTCATTCCCAAGCTTTTTTCTTTTTTCAGGGAGGATGGGGGGGGGGGACTTTTAAAAGACTCATTTAACACAGAAGTCAATTTCCACTAATGTAGTCTTCGTATGGCATATGTGGTCTTCCAAAGCAGACCTATAAACACATGTATACATATATTAGCCTCTTCCTTAATAAGAACAACAGCAATGAGCCTACCTTCAAACATATCATCACTATTCTTATCCCTTAGGGAAAAAAATGAATATGAGAACCATTTTATTTACAATAATTGCAGACTGGTATTTCTGACAGAACTGATTTTCCCCTCACTTGTATAAACAGCTCTAATTGTGAAAAGAATAATATAACTATTGGATAACCCAGATTTTACTTCCTGAAAGTTTGGCAGGGGGTATTTTCCATGCATTCTGCCATGAGAAAGCAGGAATAAAGTGCTTTCCGATCAACTGTAGCTATCAAGTTATTTAACACAGAAGAGAGTTTACAGGCACGTCAGGCTTTGAAGTTTCAGGCGTGTCGGGGGGAATGTGAAAGGGGCACATGGACCACCAGAGCTTTCACAGGATCACCAAGGACTCCACAGGTCCTAGACATCCAAAAGCCACTTTTGTACATGTCCCGTGAAAGGGAAGAACGTGAGGGCTTTGCACTGGTGTATAGGAGGACAAAGTGGGCAGGAAAGAGATGAAAGCTGAGGCAACTGAACGGCCTACAAAATATTCATCACCAAGATTCCATAGGATGCCTTCTTTTTTCCTGAGCTCTTCAGATTACACCTGTAGGTAAAGATAGGAGGTTTGAATTGGCAAGGATGCATGTCTAGTTTGTAAGAGATGGGGGAATATAAGGGACAGTCTTAAAATTCCTCAAAATTTCCTCAAATCTCATTCTTTCCAGAAAATTTACCCAGTGGAAACAGGAGAGGAGACATTTGCACCCCCTCCACACACACAACACACACACGCACCTGCTCACTTAGAACCCAAAAACAAGATGCTAAAAGTAGACAGAGAAAATCATCAAAAATAATGCTTAGACAAAATGTCCACAAACGAAACACAGACATTAAAGGAAATACATTAGAGTATATATATTTGAGTTCTATCTTTGGTAAGTATGACCCAAAAAGGGAATTTTCTCTATTCTACAGAGTTTTCGAAGAGATAGTCCTTCGATGTTTCCTCATACAAAAAAAAAAAAGTTTGTTTATTACAGAATTGGGCTGGGCCAGATTTACTACCCAATAGTATTTATCATTGATGCAGAGATCTGTAAAATAATATATATACATTAGGCTCTTTCAGAATTTTGGTCCAAAAAGTGCCCACAAGATGTTTCAGGCTCAGCTTCATCATTTTTACAAATGACCCAGGTAATTGCTCCTTATGTGGCTGTTCAAATGTCCATTGACACCTTAAGCCATTTACGGAATACTTTCACCTACGTTATCCCACCAGATCCTCACGGTCATCCCGTGAAGTAGGTGGGAGAACTACCATTCACTGCCTAACAGATGAGGAACAAAAATTCATAGAAGTGAACAAGTCAGAGGTGATGAAGGCAGAACCAGGAGCCAAACTGTCTAGTGACCCTTAGTCTAGTGAACTTTGGGGAAACTACAGATAGGTCTGTGTCTCACAACATATGGAATTATTCCCATTGTGGTTACCAATCCCAGTACTCATTCTGGCAATACCTTTTTTTTTTTTTTTTTTTTGGTAATGCCCTTTAGTCCATCTTCTAGGTCCCTAAAACAGCATATCTAATTCTCACCAGTCTTTTTCAGTAATTCATCTCTGGGGTTAAGGTTCCTTTTTCCAGAATGTCTCCCCTTAGACAGGGATCAGAGAAACATGAGCTGGGTGTCTGTCGATCAGTCTAAAGAGAAAGGGAACAGCTAATACTTGGTGACCCCCCTTCTAGCAAACCATTGTTCTTTATTAACAAACACATCACTCCAAATAAGGCACAGGTGGCTTGCTTTTACTTGACAATCAATCTGCCTTTAGAGCTCTAACTGATAAGAGGCACAGCCTCCCATTCTGTTAAAAAAATTCTATAGCTTTTTCCTCTTTATCAGCTCTCACTGAAGTGACTTCTTATACAGAAATGAAACGGCATATTGTATGAAATGATTATATCTTTTTAATTCTTTTGTTCATTTCAATAGTATTTGAGAGGAAGCTAAAACGAGTTCTGATGATGACAGGTGGAAGGTGGTAATTGAGTTAGCAGCAATGCATTCATTTTAAACCACTTGTAGAAATGGAGCATTGCTTAGTTGCATAGGTCTGAAATCCCCAAATAAACACATTTGTTATGAGAAGATGACAGCAGTTCTCTACATTAACAGTGAAAGTATTAAGCCCACAGAAGACATTCTAGTTGTTTTGACAGAGTGGCTTGAGTGCTATGCCACCTCATTAAATCCAGCCAAAGTAAAGGAAGAAAAGGTTGATGAGGTCACAGCCCAGGAGTGAGGTCACCAGCTAATCTGACCTCATAGCAACACAAGAAGTTTGATGAAAAGGTGTCCCCAGGGTAGAAGTCAGAAGTCATCCCTTTGCCTAAATGAGTCTTTCAGCTCAGAAAAAAAAATTGTTGGCTAGACACTCTTAGCGTGCCCAGGGTAGCATGTGACTAATAGCACTTTAAAGTCTATTGTGAATGATATAATGATTAACTGACCTTTCACATCCTAGAAAGGTTACATTAGCAGCCACTTATCAGTGCTTCAGAGCTGAAGCAGTAGAGTGTGAAACTCGAATTCCACCATGAGCTCAGAGAATGATTAAAGTCAGAAGTGATCCATGGCTGCTTATAAATGAAGTCCAAGAGTCCCAATATTATCAATAACATGGAGCAGACAAAATATAATTGTGGGTGGCAAAAAAAATAGCTAGATTTTGCTTTTAGTTTTCTAATGAAAGCAGTTGGGCTAATGAAAATATTAGTTATTAGCTGTAAATTCTGGAAATGAATACTACTTTTAAGAATGTAGGAGACTGTCTTATAAATATTTCAAAGAGCACACTATTAATTCAAGCCAATCAATAACACAGCATACCCCTCTAGTTACGAGTGAGAAGAAATTTATTCACTAGTTTTATTTCTTTCTGAAATCCATATTTAAAGGTTTGGGATTGACTATGTCAACATAAGTTGTCTTCTTTTTATCAAAATATTATTTATTACTCAAACACTTCTAAAGCAGTGTTATGACTCTTTAATTTGTTGAGTAGAAAAAACGAATATTTACTAACATTTCTTGAAAACTTGCTATAAGCCCACAGGAAAGAATCTGACATCATCACACTGTGTTTTCCTTAACTTGACAGGAAGTCAACTTCAAGTAGACTGACTTGAATCAGGACCTCATTTGGGAAGTATAAGTGTTCAATAAACTGCATTACTTTTTTATTTGGAAAATACTCAAGTTCAGTGGCTTTATCATCCTGAACTTTACTTTCTGAAAACCTGGCAATCCCATGTGGACTTCTGGTAGAATGAGCAATGCAAAGAGCTGGCTTGGACTTGGCATGTCCTTGTACTTCTGGGGATTGATGGACCTTACAACCACTGTTCTCTCGGGCACACCAACACCGCCAGGCAAATTAGAAGCGTTCCTGTCAGACAAGCCACAGTCACACCCTCGGACAAAGAGGAGCTGGGTTTGGAACCAATTTTTTGTTCTGGAAGAATACACTGGAACTGACCCTTTGTATGTCGGCAAGGTAAGAACTGCCAAAGAAAAAGATAAATTATCAGAATATTGAATATTGACATTGAATAAGAATATGAATTGACTATGAAAGCTCAAATAGTCTAAGGCCTGAGAAGCATTTTAACTAGACGTATGTTACTTGACAGCTAGTTGAAATCTAATTTTTGCTCTGTCAGATACTGATAAGAAAGGAAAGATTTCTCTCCTTGTTCTTGCCTCTGTTCTGAGTGGGAAATACTAGGAATTGGATTTTTGCAGGAAAAGCCTTGGACCCTGTAAGAACCATTCAAGTCCCCCCAGAGGCAGCAGCAGCCTCAGGAATAACAGGATGGGGAAGAAATAAACTGGGAAATGCAAAGGGAGGAGTAGAGGGTTTTTTGCCCTTTTTTTTTTTTCAAAGCATTTCCACAGGTATTGCCTGAGGCCTAAATTTAATGGAAATAAAAAGAATAAAACATTCTTCATTTCAGAAGATCCTAGCTTGTGCTTCAGGATAGTTGGAGACAATCAATGAATATATTTATAAACTTTATACTCAAATTCCCTTGATTTATCTATCATCATTTCATTTTTAATCCGGGCTTTCTCCTGTGTTTACTTATTTTGGATGTTAATCGGAGACCATTTTGCAAAAGCAACCAAATGAGAGAAAATGGGAAACAAGGAACTAATAAGAAAATAAATAATTCATTCAAATAACAAACACTTGTTTAGCATAGAGGCTAAGAGTGTGGGTTTCAGAGTCAAACATATGTGGGTTCAAAACCCAGCTCTGTCAATTGCTTCCAGAGTGACTTCGGAGAACCATGTAATAAGAGAACCACAACTTCTCAAGAGCTGTCTACATAAGCTCTTTCCTCAACTCCCACCCACTTCTCAACCCAGTTATCTGACTTCTGCCCTCACTCTGCACTAAAGTTGTCTTTTCAATGCTCCTAAGGACCTCCCCACCACCAGACCCGATGGTTTCATTTTATGGAACCACCCAACAGCGGCCTTGGACACTGCTGCCCAGTCCCTCCTTCTTGACTCACATTCTTCTCTCAGCTTCATGACCTTCACAATCCCATTTTTCCTCCTTCCTTCTCAGCCTCTTTGCTGGTCCTCTCCCTCTGCCTGACCCCAACCACTGGTGGTCCTGTAAGCTTTGCCCTGGGTCTCTTCCCTATCCACACTCATTCCCTGGGTGGATTCGTCATCCCTATGGTTTTAACCCCCACCCCCAAACCAATGAATTCAAAACCTCCACCTCTGGCTCAGACCACTCGTCTGAGGTTCAGACTTACAAACCCTACCGCTCCACATTTATGACTCAAAGGCGTCCCACGTGTAGCATATCCGGTAAAGAATTCTCTAAGTCCACCCTGTTAAACTCTCTCACCACCATTATTTTTTTCACAGCTCTAATCACAACCTACAATATCTAATTTATTTGTTTGTTTATATGTGTATTGTCTGAAGCCCTAGACTAGACTATAAGCTCAATGAGGACGAGGACACTCCTCCCATTTTATCCACAAGGCCTAACACAGTACCTGTCACATAGGCAGTGTTCAAAAAGATACTTATGAAATGAGTACCTCATGGTGTAGTAAGGATTAAGTAATAAGCTAACACATGTAAAGTGCTTTAGCAGAGTACCAGGTCCAGAGTAAGATCTTAATAATCGTTACCCTGTAGTAGCTGTAGTCATCGTCGTCGTCGTCATTGTAGTAGCAGCAGCAGCAGCAGCAATAGTATAGGGAGTTCCTTATGTGAATTAAGCAGCTCAGTAATGCATACCTAATGCACCTGCAAATCTCTTGGCGTCAAAACCTGTGAATTTTCTTTGACTTCTGCCATTCCTTCTCTTCTTCCTTCATGCACAATCAGTCACCACATTCTGTCAATATCTCCTTGCCAGTTTCTCTTAGATTCACCTCATCCTCTCCACTCTCTGTGATCACTGTGGTCCCTCTGTTCTTCATGATTAGATTAACTAAGCAGGTGCTGTAGGGAGAATCTTCCCATTCCTCCCCCTATGACTCAGGACATTTACCTCCATGAAGCACCCTTTCCATCATGTCACTCTTTTGATTAAGAAAGCACTGTAGGGCTTCCCTGGTGGCACAGTGGTTGCGAGTCCACCTGCCGATGCAGGGGACATGCGTTCGTGCCCCGGTCCAGGAAGATCCCATGTGCCGCGGAGCGGCTGGGCCCGTGAGCCTGTGCTCCGCAACGGGAGAGGCCACAACAGTGAGAGGCCCACGTAC